AGCTTATCACTTAGAAGATTTTCTGAAACAAGCCCACTTTGATGTGCAGCTGTGAAAATATTAATGTCACATACTATACACCTTGTATGGCATAGTAGTTAAGAGCGCAAGCTGGAGAGTTAGACTGCCCCAGTTGGAATCCTAGCTCTACCACTGTCTGACTAGGGTGAAAACTTTCAGCAACTAGCTTCAAGGCTCAGCCTCAGTCTCCTTGTCTGTAAGATGGGGATAATAAAAAAAAATACTTTCTCTTCTCACAGGGTTATTAGGAAGATGAAATGAATCTCTACCTATAAAGCAATGTAACACCCTACCTACTGCAGAATAAGTGGTCAATAAATGGCCTGGGAGAAAAGACATGAATCCAGGACATTTAATTCTTCCTCTTCCCCCTTCAAGCCAGGAACTTGGCAGTTATCCTAGAATCCGATCTCTCTCTCACATCCTGCCTACAATCCATTGCCAAGTTCTACTGAGTCTTCCCCTAAATATCTTTGGTACGCAACACCCCCTCTCCACTGGCATAGTCTCCGCCTTGGTTCACACTCAGCATTTCGTGCCTGGATCCCCATCAGAGCTTCCTGACTGCTCTCCCTGCTGCTGCTACAACACGGATGCTTGAGTGACGGCTCTACCCCATAAAGCTATTCACAGTCCTCTCTTCTACCACCACCATTAAGGTCTCTCCCCGCTTTTAGCAGGATGATTTCCAAACTATGCAAGATGGCATAGGAAGATCTTTATGCTCTGGCACCTGCCTACTTTTCGTGCCACGCACTCAGGTCCCATTTGCTCCAGGAATTCCAAAATACTGTTTGTTTCCCACACAGCCTAATAGTCTCTCCTACTTCTATTACTTTGGGAATGAGATTCCTGTTCTTCGGCTTGATTATCTTGCTGACTCCTCTTTCAACTCCACTCAGCTTCACTGAGATTCTCCTCTGAGCGCATCTGAGCCAAGTGAGGGTCTTTCTGTGGACTCCTGAGGCTCTCTCTTCATTCTTTATGGAAAGTGATTAATGGCTCTTATCTTTCACCCTCCCTGCCTCTTCTGGGCGTTACTGTAGTGTTGCCACTATGCTTTGATTGGCTTTGTCTCCAACATTTGATGCAATGCCTGATCCACAGAAGTCACTCATTAAATGTTTACTGAATGAATACATGAATTCAAGAATGAAGCAATGAATATTTGTTCCCGCTCTGTCACTGACTGACTGTATGTTTGACATCAATAATCAGAAAATATGTTAATCATGGAATTGTCATTTTATCCTAGTATCTAGCACTGTGTCAGGTGCATATATAGAGAGAGATCTACCTACCTATCTGTTGAGAGCAAACTCCACAATGTTTTCTTTTTTAATATAAATTTCATTAGGTCACCTCAAATTTTTTACAGGACCTGGTAAATATATACAAGCATATATTCATATACTAACAAAACCCACTTATGGAACAAATTAGGGTTAATTCCAGTAATATCCCTCACTGTTGAAATGTATTTTATAGTTTATGTGGGGAGAGGGCATGACAGGCAGGTAACATGGTACCAGAAGCCAACAACAACAGGGAATGTGCAAGGACTGCAGCCTGACCACGAGGAGAGCACGTGTGACTTCAGCCCATCATGGCTTTATGGTAGGATGAGCCACCTACCGACCACCGCCCATGGGCCTGGGCCCTGCTGGCAGCAGGGGATATAAACAGCTCTTCTCTGTAACTCAGTCAGGGCAAGGATCCAGTAAAAACCCACCCAAAGGCACTCTATCTACAGTGGCATGCCTCCCACTGGTTGCCAACCTAGGCAGCCCATGAGCAGAGAAGTGTGGAGGGAAAAAGATACGGCAGGGAAGGGCAATTGGAAAGTATGGGGAAGGGGCATTTGTAAGTGCATTGGTAAGCACCTTTTAAACAAGATACTCATTCAAACTTTTTTTAAAGCCAGACAAATTAGTAATAAAAAAGTAAAGGTTCGTCCACCTAGATGCATTTCCTTTCAACAAATAGGAAGATTTTCTTTTTCTTAACACTACTTAAGTTATGTCAAGAATAAAACACATCTTTATTAAAATTCAACTAATTATAAATTCCTAGAAGTTCTGTACTGCTTTTTTTTTGGACTGGTAATCACATATTCATGATTAACATATTCAAAATAGACCATATGCACAATTCACTGGGTTTTTAAAAACTTGATGAAATGTGAATCCAATGTTAAGTCTACATATGCATTATGATTTCATGATAACATATAGTGATATCCCATACTATACGATTCTGTGTCATCAGACCTAATCAAGAAAGCTTCGTCTTTGGCCTTACTCAAACCTGAACTGCAGGAGTGTCATGGACCAAATTCCTTATTTTATAAACTAGATACTCTAGGATTTTCCCAAACTTTTCTAGTTTGTGATTTTATGAGAGTATCCACTATTACTTTTACGTAATTAAAAGATCCTTGCCAGGCTCAGTGGCTCACACCTGTAATCCCAGCACTTTGGGAGGCCGAGGCAGGTGGATCACCTGAGGTCAGGTGTTTGAGACCAGCCTGGCCAACATGGCGAAACTCCATCTCTATTAAAAGTACAAAAATTATCCAGGCATGTTGGTGGGTGCCTGTAATCCCAGCTACTCAGGAGGCTGAGGCAGGAGAATCGTTTGAACCCAGGAGGCGGGGGTTGCAGTGAGCTGAGATCACGTCACTGCACTCCAGCCTGGGCAACAAGAACAAGACTTCATTTCAAAAAAAAAAAAATCCTATACAGTATTTCTGCATATGAACAAGAGTAACTTCCCCATAATATCCCACAAAATACTTAGAAGAAGCATTTTTGATTGACATGAGGTGTACAACATGGAACAAATTAGCCCACAGGCCTTCATTAGAATCTTAGAAAAAGGTGGGGAAAAAGAAACCTAAAGTCATAACAATTCACTTTATAGGGCATAAGGGTCATATATGGCTATGCCACTGAAGGAAATCTAGAGTGTCTTCAAAATAATTCAGTCTTAACTTTGTATATCACAAGTAGTCCATGAAATAATTTGACTATGAATATTGTATCTTCCATAATATACTGTATCTTAGAGAATATACCTATTTTACTATGTTAAGAATGAACAACAGCAATGAAAGTGCTATCCATGTGCTAGTTTTAGGATCTACTCTGAGAGTCCTGAGAACAAAACATTTAAATCCACTTGCACATTTACAATAGAGATATTGATATTTCTCCATGTTCCCTTCTGGTTGCTAAGTGATTTACATTGGACAGACTCTGTTGTACTGGTAACAAAGCACTTTGGTCCACAAAGCATTTGCTACAGCTCAGTGAGTCCAGAAACTCCCTTTGCTTCACCCCTTCCCTATCTTGCTTCCAAGTCAAACAGGGGCCCAGGACAAAGGTGACAGATCTGTCATCACTGCTACAGAAAACTGCTGTACATAAACCTAGCTAGTCTAACAACCCTAACATATAGTGTCAATATTAATATGACACCATATCTTCATACAAATATATGTACCTTTTCCATGTTTCTTAGAAGCTAGTTTATCACGGTGGGGGTAGGCAGAGATGTATGGAGAGGGGGCAAGTGGTAGTGACCTACCCACAGAGAAACCTCATACAATAAAATTAGACCATAATCTAGCAAAGTATGGCAATTTCATAACAACTCTGCCGTGCAAGGCTTTGAAATACGCCTGCACACAATTTCTTAACCCAAGTTTGTATTTTTATGAAAATATATTCAAGAAGTTTATTTACAAGAATATCAAAGTAGGAACTAACTATATTTAACCTCTTGCAGCAAAACAACTGCAGCTCTCCAGCTTCAATCTCAAAGTCAGCTATGCAACAAAAGGCAGAGAGTCTTCTATAGATCCTAATTCTGGAGAAAATGGCAAGAGTACCAGGAATATTCACGGTCACTCCTGAAGAGGGGTCCATGTGGGGGATGAAATCTGCGTGTCATTTAGAAAGCACATGCCTCACTGCTCACAGCAAATTAAGGATATCTTTCCCTTGGGAATTTTCACAAAGACACATAAAAATGCTTTATGACCTGCCTTTCCTATTCAGATCACAGTTTTAGTCAATTTTTATTAATTATCGTGGAGGAAAAGTGCTTTGGGGTCTTACTCCTGGTTCAGCACCTAGGAGTCATATTTAAGGGCAAACACTCTAATTACTCATGGGCTACAATAAAACACCTCTGACCCAGAATTTTCCTCCTATTTTCCCCCTGCCTTGGAATATCAGTAAGGAATCATCAATGCCTATGCTTTGATCTAAAGCGATCAGTGTTGAAGGTTTCAGGTCACTGGAATTCCTGCGTTCAGGATAATCACTCTCACCCAGCAAATTACCAAACCTCTGTGATTTCAGCTTTATTTAACAAAAGAAAGTTATTTCTAGCAGTTTATTTCCATTGCACAACTTGACAAAAAGTACCTTATAAGAATAAGAGGCAAAAGGAAAGAAAGAGGAAATAAAAGCAAAGCAGGAAATGACTTTTGTGCTACGTCTCTAAGGTCACAGATCTGCCTGGGAAACGCACGCATGTGACACAGTTCCAGCACAAAAGCTCTTTTTCCACGAGACAAACCTCTAAGAAGTACAAAGCCTGGCTCTCTGGCCTCTCCCTCTAACCCAAAGCACCGCAGTGCATTTCACCTTGACTGGGCTGTGAAGAAACTACTTTTGTAACTCCCTCACAACACCTTTCCGTGTCATGGAAACATGCCCATGCCTATATAAAGTGAAGCACACTTTCCGCATAGCCCTGCAATCACCCCACAGGAGAAAACCATCCCTCTTGCCTTGCCCATCCTATGGCCATGGTCTGCCATAGGGTTTATCATCTGTTCCCAATTTACACACCCAATTTACACTCTAGCCAGCATGTAAAAATAAGCTTTAATGCTCCTAACAGATGCCAGGCGGAGATTACAACAAAAAGAATCCAGGCAAGATACATGCTCTGGCATACATAGATACCTTTTTCTTCCGATCCCGGGACCGTTTGCGGTGTTTCCTTTTTTTCTCAGGCTCTTCTTCAGCATTGATTTCCAAATCCCTGTTTTTCTTTAATTGTGAGGCTGCATGAGCCATAATGCATTTAAAAAGATCCTCTCAAGCAGGCACGGCTTCCTTGTAAAAGGTGATATCCTCAGGCACCTTTAATCAGGCTTACAGCAGCATTCCAATCACTAGAGAGAAAGCTTTGACTAGAAGCAGGAAGATATTCACAATGCAAAGATGCTGGAGAAGCTGAAGCTTTTAAAAACCCAAATGATGATGTCCGGACTTCATCCTACACCTTCCTCTACCTGAACCTTTACAGGAGAGTGCAGCCATCGTAATGCATTTACCGTAGTGAAGAAGACAGCTGGGACAGAGGAAGCTGTATTATGGCTGTATCCCCTGCCACCAGCTGGAAGTGTCTAAGTGATTCCTCCGAAGGGGGAATGCTGCAAAGGATGCTTCTCCAAAGAGGAAGAATCAAGAGTCACCACACATGCAGAAGCAAAAATCCAGCACTAATTCTGAAAACCTATTTTAGAATCCTTTGAAAAAAAGAAAAGGCTGCAATTTATACATCACCACTAGATCTACACGGAGAATAATTTAACCCCTGATAGAATGGAGCTGTTCCTACTTTAGTTCAACTGCTGATGGTGACAAAATATATAAAATAAGATTTCAAAAAACACACTACATTTTGCTATGGAGATCCTGACTGCATTACGGGGAAAACAATGCATGTATTGCCCGTCTCAACAGTGCATCCTTTATGCTAAACTATCAGCCTAAATGCATTTTGCGGAGAAGACTACACAAGGGCTTGTTGTCTTTTAAAAACAACATGCTGATTACAACACATCATACAGAAAGATGTGAGCATGTTGGTGTATGGAACAGATGCCTGATTCATAGGAGGTTCCCCAGGACTCTCCTCTCATGGGGTCTGAGGGTCAGGAATCTGTGCCGTAATCAGTGTTTCTGAGTCAGTGAAATGCAGATTTGCTTTCATGTTAGGGTTTGCTTCAATCACCTTACTATTTTTGCCACCTGAGTTCTCAATGACCGCAGCCTCTGAATATTCATTATGTGAAGTGAAGCAGCAGCAGTGCTCAAGGCCTGCTGGGGTGTCTTCTGCTAGGATGCACACACTGGAAGAAATCTAATAAGTCGGGAGTCATTTGCACACATACTACACAGTATTCACAGTAAGTGCTTTAGCAAGAAACTGCTGAAATGTCAGGCTGGGCCTAAAACATATGAGACCTAGTAAAAAAAAAAAGAAAACACACACACATACACACACACCAATTTCACCAAGAAAATGAGCCAGGGAAAAAAAAAAAAGAAAAAAGATGTTCTGATGAAAAGACTTTGTTAGCATGTGCCCTTCCAATACAAAAGTCCATAACTTTGGCGGCCGGTGCATTTGATTTTGTAGGGCTGAGTGTGTAGGTGTGTAAAGGACAGAGCACCAGGTCCAGTGCATCATGTGAGGATTTGGTTGGGGTTCTCTGGAGTTGTTGTTCGTCTGCTTCACAAAGAGTGCCAAGCGTGAGTTCCTGCAAACAACTTCTACTCACCATACGTCTAGATTTGGGGTTCAAAGGTCTTTCCTCTTTTCCTCTTGTAGGATGCTTTATAGTCTCTGTGGAGCAGTGATGAAAATGGGAAGGGAAATTCAGGGACCATGGCGTCCCATTCCTACTACCAATGGACTGCGCACTTCTCTGAGGCCTCAAGGCGAACTACAGGGAAACCACGCTGGTCATAGAGTTACCATGGGCCTACTATGTGCACCGATGCTCACGTGCTTGACTTCCACACAAACTGTCTTCATGAAGAAAGAGTTCTGGAAAGTTTCTCCGTTGCCTATGAAACTACACAAAAATGGGGAAAAATGAAGGTGGGGGATGAAATGTAACTCAGATCCGAAACCAGATGAAAGATATTTGGGTCTTTGTAGTAAAAATGAGTGTTTTTGTACTAGGATATTTTACTGTATTAGTAACAGGTGGGGCAGAGTAAAACTTAAACCTTCGTATGCATTTTCCCAATATAAATAATCTTATACTTTTGAAAACATTCATACAATTTCTTTTATTTTCAGTAAGTTGAAGAGAACAGCCAGCTAAAAAGCTGGCGGCTTTCCCACTGGCTCCTGGATCATCTTTTCCTTCTTCCTTTATAGACACTAATGATACTTTAAAATATATTTAGAAGTGTGCTTGATCAAGTAACTTCTCCATCTGAGGCTGGCAAAGCACTATACTTTCTCATTGATTTCTACTGGCAAAACCATAGTTGGAAATTAGAAAAATAAGCCACAGGTATTTTTGAATGTATTTCTCTCTAGAATAATTATTTGCTTCCCCCAAATGTTCAGAAGTTGAGAATGTGTCATGGCTTTTTAGGACTCCATAATGTGACTTTCTCGTTGCCTTGGATTTTCCCTTATCTCAGTAAGTGGTTAGCCCATCAAAAATAAATCCTAAGGTATAGCTTGCTCAGATTACCTTTTTTACAGAAAATGTGATCTTTTATCTTCCATTTCTAAAGTAGAACTTTGAACAGTGACTCTACTAAGAAAGGCAACCCTGTGGGTCCTAGGTTTTGACTGATATTACTAAAGGCTAAATCCCTTTCTCCCTACACAGCAGACATCCTGACCAGTAACTCTCAAGCTCCTAGTGTACTTATTCTCAACACAAAGGCATTGACTCAAGAGAGCCACAAATGCCAGTTCCCCTCAAAACTGAATTGACAGTTTTATCAATAGTTCTAGAAAGCCTTTATTATAGCTGAAATGAAAACATTAAAAGAACTTTTAAAAACTTGATTCCTTGACTAAATTTTTATCAAAAATTTCCACTTAAATTTCAAGAACTTATGGTCATTTGGGAGATTAAAAACTAGTATGAATCTTTAAAGTTCAACTAATTGTCCAACTGGTACAAGCTCATGTGTCTGAGAAGTGGGGCAGATCCCTGGTAGCAACAAGAATGAGATACAAACATGGCCTTAGAGGAAACAAGAGTAAAAGGTTCAGTCAGGCTGATGGTCACCTCCCTCTACCGCAACTTCCCCAGTCCTACTACTTGCCATTGGCCATGAGAATGTGTACATAGGACTTGCATAGGATGGGCGTGGCCTATGCACGGAATGTCAAAGCTATTAAAAGCTGAGGGTAGGCCAGGCACGGTGGCTCATGTCTGTAATCCCAGCACTTTGGGAGGCTGAGATGGGCAGATCACTTGAGGTCAGGAGTTCAAGACCAACCTGGTCAACATGGTGAAACCCCATCTTTACTAAAAATACAAAAATTAGCTGGGCGTGTTGGTGTGCACCTGTAATCCCAGCTACACGGGAGGCTGATGCATGAGAATCACTTGAACCCGGGAGGTGGTGGTTGCAGTAAGCCAAGATCACACCACTGCACTCCAGTCTGGGTGACAGAGCAAGACTCCATCCCCCCGCCATCTCCAAAAAAAAAGAAAAAAGAAAAAAAATTCTGAGGACAAAAATTCTTAAGTGACTTCCCTTTCTCAAGAAAAAAAGAAAGAATCTGTTCTTGTTTTAGAAAAGTCCCAGGTACAAGAATTCCTAAACCATGCTTTCAAAATATAGTACAGAGCGATCTTTCAAATTTTTATTAGGTGAAGAAATCATTCTTTGAATACGTCCTACAGGAAAGGTACTTATAATAAACATAACAGTGGAGCTTCATGGCTGAATGGAAAAAATGGTGTCCTGGAGCCCCAGCCCTTTGGCTCTCTCAGCCCTCCTCCAGAAGGCAGCTTTGGTGAGCACAATTTGAAAGCCACCACACTGCCTCAAAGAGCACACTGCCCCAAAGAGTCTCTGTGTTTTCCCTGCTTGTAGCTTTGTTACTAGAAGTTATGTCAAAAAAAGTGATTCTCCATGCACACGTATGTTTATTGTGGCACTATTCACAATAGCAAAGACTTGGAATTAACCCAAATATCCATCAGTGGCAGACTGGATTAAGAAAATGTGGCACATATACACCATGGAATACTACGCAGCCATAAAAAAGGATGAGTTCGTGTCCTTTGTAGGGACATGGATGCAGCTGGAAACCATCATTCTCAGCAAACTATCGCAAGAACAGAAAACCAAATACTGCATGTTCTCACTCATAGGTGGGAATTGAACAATAAGATCACTTGGACACAGGAAGGGGATCATCACACACCAGGTCCTATTGTGGGAAGGGGGAGAGGAAGGGATAGCATTAGGAGATATACCTAATGTAAATGACGAGTTAATGGGTGTAGTACACCAACACGGCACATGTATACATATGTAACAAACCTGTACGTTGTGTACATGTACCCTAGAACTTACAGTATTAAAAAAAAAAAGTGATTCTCTCTACTAAAAATTGTCCCAAATAATTGTTTTTATTTCTTACCAGAACTAACAAGTTTCATGCAGAGTGCTTCCTGCCTGGGCATTATTAGAGCATTAATCTTCTATAAAAACAATTAAAATATCTTTCCACATTGGGCATATGGAGTAATGGGCATACTCCAGATAATATCTAGTCCAGGAATCAAACAATTGTGACTAAGTATGCCACTGAAAATAAAGCCCAAATCAGTTCATTCGGATGCCTTATAGACTTTAGATACACAGCCAAGTATTTCTCCCCACTCATTTTTCACATACACCTTTTCAGGATTTCAAGACAAGCTCTAAATATTAGTTCAGTCAATTAATAACTTGACTACTCTCTCTTGTCATTTCATGTTGTGTCTCTACCTTGTTAAGCTGAGTTGACACACAAACCAATAACAATATATGTGGTTTCTACAGAGATGACACTGTCACATGGAGATTCTGAAGTTACAAGAGCTGTGCACATGTAAAAAATATTACATTGTGATATAAAGAAGGAGAAGTTGGGGAGTATATACAATAATAGAGGATGGAGGCAAGAAAGAAACTAAAGAGAGAAATGGTTCCAGGGCTGCCAGGGAGGGTGTGCCTCCTCAACCCTACTCCATGTTCCTGGTAATGAGGCAAGTGTGTGTTTTGATGGAATGAGAACGACTTCATGCTGCACCCACTTCAGTTTTCTCAGAAGCAGAGCAGCCTCGCCACAAGAGATAGTCAAAATATTTCTTCTTCACAAAGAAATCTGGATCCACGATCATTTCATGAATTTTTGGCATCCTAGATGATACCAAAAGACCTAGAGCAGGTTTGGAACAAGGTGAAGGAACAGGAAAGAAAACAAGCACTAAAATTGTCAAGGGTTATAAATGACAAAATAGAAAACACACACCTGGAAAATTTTTAATTCACAGTCTCATATTATTTTTCATTGAGACATATGAAGTTCTTAAAACAAAAAACTGTGACTGGATAGCACTGAGGAACTGGTAGCCATTCATACACCCCTTGTAGGGGGTGGCACCTCTGGATAACAAGCACTGGCCTTGGTGCCATCTGTCTTAGCACTTAGTCTGCCCTCTTTCCCCATCCATCTGACTATGCGGCTTGACCTCAGTGCTGGAGAGACAGCCAGCTGGTCCCAAGCACACCAGCTGCTTCTGTGACCTCACATGGGCAGACAGGGGCAGGCACATGAGGAGGCTTCCCCAAGGTCTCTCCATCACACCCACACTGGCCTGCAGAGAGGAGGAGATCCTCCGTTGCACATAGAAGTACCCCACAGCTATATCTGTGGTGTCTGTTCAACCCGAAGGAGTAGACTGGTAGTGCCTGGCAGAGTTCTGAGTGCAAAGCAGGCACCAAGAGAGGGGTGCGAGGAAGATGAACCACATGCCACTTCCTCTCCCCACTCCGGCTCTTATAAAAGGAGGCAGCTGGACTAGATGACTTCGATGACAGTCCTCACTCTTCTAGAATGCTGTGATTTATGTGAAAGGAGGGCTTCAATGTTTGCAAATTTAAAAATATACATAAGAAAGGTTTATTCAAACAGAGATTATTCAAGCAGAGTTTACTGTATTCTACACTGGCCAATACAGTAGCCACTAGCCATATGTGTCTACTGGGTAGGGAAATGTGAGTAGTGTAACTGGAGAACTAAATATTTAGTTTTATTTAAAATTTCAAATTGATATTCAATTCAGATAGTAGAACACATGCAAGTGTGTTTGGAACAATTTGGATATGCAAATCTACTTTTCTAACTTTAAATTTTATGATATAACATACAGATCAAGTATTTCCGACAAAAATTTTGCATCCAAATTGAGACGTAAAATATATCCCAGGTTTCAAGATTTAGTACCAAAAAATGCAAAGTAGCTCAATGATTTTACATATTGATTCATGCTGAAATAATATTTTGGATAAGATCAGTTAAATAAAATATATTACTAAATTAATTTCACTTTCTTAAAGCTTTTTAAATGTGGCTATTCAAAATTTGAAATTAGATGCATGGCTTACACTCTATTCCTACTCGACAGCACTGGTCTAAAGAACTTACACAGTACTAACAAAAAGAGAGCCCGATCAGTCAGAAATTGTCTTCCTGAAGGCAGCTAATTCATCAAACAAGCAGACAACACTTAGCAATCAACTACTATGCCTCTTTCTTTCTTTCTTTCTTTCTTTCTTTCTTTCTTTCTTTCTTTCTTTCTTTCTTTCTTTCTTTCTTTCTTTCTTTCTCTTTCTTTCTTTCTTTCTTCCTTCCTTTCTTTCTTTTTCTTTTTTTTTTTTTTTTTTGGTACAGGTGATGCATAAACATACAGTATGTTCTCAGGCACTTGTGCTGAAAGAAGCATTTGTGTGCTCATGGACACATTCCCTTACCCTGCTGGTCACTGTGTCCAGCACCAGGGATGTATAGAGGAATGAGACTTCATCCTTTCCCTCAAGTTTCCATGGGCGAGAAAGACAAGGACACCAATAATTAGAACACACAGACAGGTGCTACAGAAGCAGGGGTGGGGTAATGTAAAACATAATGAAGAGGTCAGCACTCAGCACAATGCTTTCTAGGTCAGATCTCTTTTCCCTACCCATGGAACTTACAATTTCACAAGTGACCCCTTGACATTCTAGTCAACATGCTGAACTGCTTGTAACCTGAACAGAAAATACAAAACTCCCTTTATGCCCTGGCTACTGCTATTAGTGCTGGTGATACAACAGGGAATGAGGCCGATAAGGTCCCCTTTTCAGAAGCTTCAATTCTTGAATATTGAGCCAGGGAGGAAACAAATAAAAAATGAACAAGATAATTTTCTATAGTAACAAGTGCTATGAAGAAAATAAAGTAGTATGAGTGAATTGAAAGTGACCGGATGGGGAACAATTGTTTATGAACTCTTTGCTTCATTCCATGTTTAGATTCCCTAGGAAAAATAAATCATGATAGTGAGGAGCCAGCTGAATCAGGTAATTCACTCTATTAGTGAATTCTCCAAAAGTTGCCCTCTAAACCAAGAAATTCATTTAATAGCAAAGAGCGAATGGCTTCTCAAGTAATGTGTTCAATTCAAATATACTTATTACTGAAGATAATAGATATGCTTTGGTAACACTTATCTCTTAAACTATTTGTATAATTCTAGCTTCCATCACCTTTATTAACTTACAGCTTAATAACAATTCAAAAAGACTGATAAAGTATAACCACTGAGTAATGAAATAAATTTTCCTGTGTAACTTGTGGAAACAAGTCTTGTTGTTTCATAGCCAAATATAATATTCTATGAAATTATTTCTTCTGATAATTCAATAAACTCTTGTAATTTAATGTCTATATAATAATTATATTTAAGTTGGCCAAAAGGAAATATAAGGAAAGTAACTAAGTAAGGCAAAATAGCTCTTACCCCAACTTTGTTGCTAAGTAGCTATGAGATCTTACAGAGACTTTATCCTACCTAGTTTCTGGTTCCATATCTGTAACATGAAAGGAATTCTAAACTCTCCCAAAATACACGCTCTGTGATGCTGAAATACAATTACAGTAAGGATGAAGTGACTGATTTTTGCATCATTTTATGTTGGTGAGTTCTGATCAAGATATAAGGAAAGTAAATTCACTTTCAAAACATTTCTTTCAAGAAGCTACTAAAAGGCAAAGCTACAAAGGAGATTTTATTTGAAGATTCAGGAAATTGTCGGCCCAGGAATTATTTGCTGACCCTGTGTAGGAGGAATGGAGCAGCACATATAAGAAAGCAAAGGATCTTATCTCTAGAGAATGAAACATTTAATTCATTGACTTAGGAGGTCATACTTATAGTAGGATTAAAAAAAAAAAAAACTAAACAGTACTCCAGATTCTATAATGAAAATCAGTCAAATTTCAGACTAAAACTCAGATAATTATTCTTTAGCATATTGAGGGACATATCAACCATGCAGAAATTTATGTCTAACAAAAAGACATCCTATTTTCTTGGATGTAGCACTGAGCTGACTTCCTGCCATGGAAAGGGCTACATGTAGAGTTTATAGCCTCATCCTTCTGTAGAGTGGAAATAACACCTGCTTCTTCCCTATCTTACCAGTGTGTTTCAATACCCAATGTCTATGAAGCAACATGGACATCACAGAGAACAAAAACATTAACACATAAACACAGGACATCATCCTGTTGGGGAGACAATAACGCAGATTGGCACTCAGGGTTCCTGAGTAGATTTGGGATTCGCTCTCTTCCTACTTGTCCTTGAACTCAGCAAGTGTTAGCAGGCTTTCTCTTTCATGTTGTTTTGGAAGGCACATTGGAATCAGACTAATTGAGCTTCATGTTATATGTTCCACAACTTTGCAACTTTTTCCTTGCCCTTTCATTAGATCATGCCAATATAATCACAAGAATGATAAAAGTTTGAATATTCAAAACAGCCTGTTTGGAACATAAGGTCCTATGTTTTGGAGATAAAGATGGTGAGGTCCTTTGAAAAAATACAACTCTAGAACAATTTTCTCATTCTTTCCCAAGATCTTTTAAAAAGCGTCTGAGAGTGGGAC